CCTGTGGTGGGAGAACAGAGCTGTCAGGGCTGGGTGGAACGGGGCTGCTCCGGCGCTGGGCATGTGCTCGGGGATGTCCGAGATGGTGACGGGTGTCCCTGCCCCTCCCCGGACTCGGTGCAAACACAGATGGGCACCTGAGGCCCAGGGGCACCTCACCCCCTGCCAGGCACTCACCACGGCGGCGATGTTCTCCCTGTACTCCTGCGCTGGGAACAGGATCCGAAGGGCGTAGGTCATGTAGGCTTCCAGCACCGCGGCGCTGAGGTAGAACAGCGCTGCTGCCCCGTGGCAGACGACATCCTGAGGAACGAGGACCACAGGGTCACCTCCGAGGGCGGCACGCTGCCCGCGCACCGTCCCCAGGCTGCAGTGCAGCAGCAGCACCCCACTGGTGACAAAGCCAGCCCCGGGCTTTGTCACGGGCACGTACCAAGGTGACCCAGCAGCCGCCGCCGCCGTGAGCCCCGCAGACGTAGAGGCACAGCAGGGAGATGGACATGACGAAGCAGAACACGGAGACAAACATCACCCAGCCCTGCAGCATGGGGTCTGGGACCCTCGAGGATGCCACCAGGATCCACACAAGGCCCCCAAAGATCTGCAAGTCAAAGTGGGGGACGGGGTGAGTGCGGGATAAAGTGACATGTCCAGAGCAGAGCCAAAAGCCACTCACGCCGCTGGCACTGAGCATGGCAGCGGCCCACGAGTTCTTCCCAGCCTCCCCTGGAAAATGGGCATTCAGCTGGGAGCGTCTGCCACTGACCCTGACCCAGAAATAATTCCTCACTGGTGCCACTGGGTGTTTGCCTCACACCCAGCGTGTCAGACCCCTGCCAGGAGCAGTGTCAAACCCAGCTCACCTGCACAGGCAGCACAGGCACCTGCCCCACAAAGGCCACATGCGAGCATTACTGTGAAAGGAGAGAACAGGCTGAGGAGAGGTTTGGCTCCCTGGGTGGGGGAAATGAGCCAGAGGCTCCCAGCTCCTTGAGAAAGGAAGTTTGCATTGCTGCTCCAGCTCTTTGGGTCATCCTTCATTGGCTGTGCCTGGTGCCAGCTGCTGGTGTGGGAGCAGGTGGGACCTTCTCAGCCAGCCTTGGGAGTTTGCCATGGGTTTTCTGGTGGTACACAGGGACAGCTATGCCCAGGTTCCATCCCTTCACCAGCAGACTCCTGCACAAGAGGATGGGGGCATGATGTTCAGTGTTGTGGAATGTCTGGAGTGCAAGTGGTGCCTTTGCACTGAAATGCCCTCAGTAGCTTTTCCGTGCCAGAGATCAGCCCAGTTGTTCTTGGACCTGTGCAAAGCTCAGTCTGTGCAAGATCCTGTGATAAGGAGCTCCAGAGCTGAGCTGTTGTGGGGACCTATCCCTCACCACCACCAGTCTGGGATTCAGGCAGATGTCCAGAGGGAGGAGAGCCTTGCTGACTCCAAGGTCATTCTGACCCTCGAATGGCCAGTGTCAGCATCCGAGTGCCAGCTCATACTCATTTCCATTTCTTTGCAGGCATTTTGAAAGTGGAAAGGAAGTCTCTGATTTATGGTAACTCAGAAAATGTTACATCATTTGTGTCACCCCACAGTTGTAGGAAAGTTTGTTGGTTCCATTATGCAAATTGAAACATTACATCAGTTATGTGGTCGAGATGTGGCAAAGACCTGAGTGAAAATGGCTCTTCCAAAGTGCTGCTGTTCTGGTCCCTTTTGTAACAACTTGAACACTAATCCAGTCCTTTTAATCACTCATGTGCTGGCACAATGAGTGGGTTGCAGCTAAAAATTCTGGGGAAAAGCATTATGGCTGCTCCATTAAAACCAAGCACAAATGATGGTGAGATATGAGCTCACTTCCTACCACTCACCATCTCTCCTTCCTGCAGGCTGTGGCTACCCACTCAGAAAAGTTTGTTTGACATGGTTTGATTATTGACTTTGGTTTTATGGTGAAGAGTCATAAAAAGGGAGAAAGGATTGAGAGGCTTTCAATAACTTAACAGCAGGATGTGGACAGCAGTCTAAGAAAAAAAAATCCATCCTTTAAACAGCTTTACAAAGTATACATGTCTGCTTTCAGCTTGTTTCAGGTTTTCCACATAGGTCTGGGTATCCATATGTGCAAAAAGTTCTTCAGATTAAATAGATAGATTATAAGCATTAAACTGAGGCTCACAGATTAAAAATGGTAGCTTTTGATCAGCCCATGCTAATGTGGCAATCGTCTGAGCTGCAGGTAGGATCTTCTGAAAATTTCACAATCGTCTTTTGGCATTTTAAATGCCATTTTTGTTTTGTTATGTTGCCATCTCAGCCCATTGTAGGCAGCCTGAGATCCCACCAAGGAATGAGAAACTCTTGATCCCTCTGATTCAAGGCAGCCACCTCCTTTGTACACAGCAGAGGTCACACAGCAGCACAGCCCAGAATCTGCCTGGAGATGGAGAAATCCAGTCATGCAGCAATCCTCCTTCCTGGGCCTTCAGGATGCACATTTCTAGATCTTAGCCAAACCAAAGGATAGGGTGCTCCTTTCAGCAAGCTGCCCTGCCAAACCCCTGGAGACAGGGATTACAAACAAACAGCTCCAGAGGAATAACCTTGCTGAGGCCAACTGGACTAACATAACTCAGGGGTGGCTGGCAAGTGTCTGCCCAGCCAAAACCTCCACAGGCACTTAAGATTCTCCTTCCTGTAGCTGCAGGAAACCTGGGGCAGGGACCAGGTCTGCAGAGCACGATTGGAGGGCTACATCCTCTTAGCACACTGTTATCCCCAGGAGAGCCAAGGAAATGCCATAAATCCCGAGAAGAAAGGATTTGGTGCCAGATGGCAAAGCTGAGGTTTTTAGCATCAAATAATCTGAATGCCATCCTACAGTGTGGAAAGCCAAGCAGGTCCCAGGTGCTCTGACTCCCAGGAAAGCACTGACTTTGACCCTTATTCATGGAGAAAGCCTCCAAAGCCTCAATATAACCTGGAGACCACAAAAATGGTGAAATAGATTGTAGAGAGTAGTATAGTATGTCACTTGGGTGAGAAATTTAGGTTTTGGGAGTTTTAGTATGTTGTAGATGGGAACAAGATGGAGGGTATAGGGTGTTGTCTCGTGCTCCTTTTTCTTCCTTCTTCTTCTTCATGGGTTTGGGTGGGATCTTGTAATTGGGTAGAAAAATCTGCACTGCGAGTCTTTAGGGGTCAGTTATTGCGTTAGAAGGGAAATCATCTAGGTGTCACTTCTTAATTGGGCAATTTAGTTTCTGATTAGGCTTAAAAGGCCTTGCAGCACGAGGTTGTTACCCATTTTTGTGCTGTTTTCCTGCAAGCAGAGTCTGGTGCAGACAGCGTGCTGAAGATTTGATAAGTTAGCAATAAAGCAAGAAGCTGAAAAGTCCTGTGTCTCCTTTTCCTGACACAGAACTGCCCCAGGAGGGTTTCCCCTGTCAGGGGAGCCCCCAGGGGGGGCCCAACCAAGCCATCCTACAATACTCAGCCAGAGCTTTCAATGCTGGACCAAAGCGCTCAGAATTTGGAAAAAAGCCTCCAGGCTCTTGTGAGAAGAGCACGAGTGGGGCAGAGGAGTTGGGGGGGAAAAGTTCAGGCTGAGACTTTGTATGTCATAACCCATGCTCGGAGCAAATCCGTTAAGATTAGGATCTGCTCCCCAATAAAGTCGCAGAGTGGAAAGGAGTTACGAGGTGTTTGCTCACCTTTGGCTCAGCCACACGCCCAGGCCCGGCGGCTCAGGAATGCGGCTCGGGAGCAGCGCAGCCCCGGCTGCTGCGAGCCATTCCCGCAGCGCCCAGTCCCTGCTCCCGGGCAGCTCATCCCCGCCCGTGCTGCCCGCAGAGTCACCCTGGCTAATTACCAGCTGGCTAATCACCCTGGCTAATTACCAGCTCCATTCGGCAACCTGCTTAAACCCACCTGCAGCCCCTGCTGGTTTTAAAGGCGGGGAATTACAGCGTGTTTCAAAGGCTCCAGAAAAATCCCACTGCAGACTAAAGGAGGGTTCCAGAGCCCGTGGCTTTCTCTGAGGATGAGCTGCCCCCGGCGCGTTTGGGGACAAGTGTCACCCTCGGACACCTGCAGCGTAACCTGTGCCGAGTGCCCAGCCAGCAGCCACGGCCTCCCCCCGGGCAAAGGCAGCACTCACGATTTCAGGGATGAAGAGCACATCTGGGAAGGTGGTCAGGACGGCCAGGCCGCTGGGCAGAGTGCTGCTGGAAGTTGAGGAGGACATCGGAAGCCTCTGGTGTCAGCCTTCTGCTCCTCAGTGCTGAATGCAGGCTCCTCACCTCTCCCTCTCTCTCCTCCTCCTTTCCTGCCCTTCCTGCTCTCGTTTCTTCCTCTTTTCTGCCCTTCCTGCCCTGGTTTCTTTCCTCGCTGCTTCCTGCTGACAGATGAAGACAGCTGTGAGTGGCACAGGTGTGGCCAGACCCTGTGACCTGCAGTCACATGGAGCTGTTGGGAGATGCAGAGGCAGCCCCGGGGCACTGCGAGCAGAGCTCAGCTGTCCCCGCTCGGCCGAGCGTGCCAGCAGGGCCCTGGGCAGGCCGGGTGGCACCGGGGTGGCAGCTGAGGACAGCAGGGGACCCTGTGCCAGCAGGGCCCTGGGCAGGCCGGGTGGCACCGGGGTGGCAGCTGAGAAAGATCTTTCTTTGAGAAAGGAAGACAGGATAAAACCTGTCCCTTGGAGAAAGCAGTGAGGCAGATGAGTGGAGGTGGCAACATTGGAAAAATTGGGGAAAAGCTTTTGATAAGCAGATGAAGTGAGAGGCAGGGTTACATGGCAGAGCAAGCACAGAACCACAGAGCTGGTGGGGCAGGGAAGGGTGGGATGGATGCTTCTTACCCAGACCTTGAGCTCTATTATTTCCAGTCCATGGAAGCAGAAACATCCAAGTAGTTAATGCCATTTTTCTTTTTCTTCTGGAGGCCTTTTCTCACTTAAACGCAGAGTCCATGCTGACCTTCATGACTTCTTCAAAGGTGGGAGAGTTTTTGCTGTATCCACCTGATTTCCCACTCTTCCAGTGAGATTCCATTTGCCCTAAGGTGACACAGCTACACTTAATGGATGAAAACTTGGACATGAGGCAGACCTAGAAACCAGTCAGCAAAGAGGGAGAGCTGGGAGCAGTAGGAATGCAGGCATTGGAGCTGGGACACAGACACAGCTCCAGAGGGGTCTCAGTCTCTGTAAGGGATGGACACGAAGCTCTCCTGTTCCTGGGACCCCAGGACTGGTGTGAGGAATGAGCAACTGCATTATGAGGGGCAGGGGCACTGCTGCTTTCCATTTGGAAGGGCTGGGACAGATTTAAAGAACCCCTTCTTTGTCTCATTTACAAAATTTTGGTGATGGATGAAAAACCAGGGGGTGCAGTGGTGAAGAATGCTGAGACCAGCTTGACCAAACCCTTAAATTAGTCCCCTCCTGAGGGTGCTCCTCCCAACTGAGGTGGGCATCAACAGGGATGTGGAAGAGCCTGGTGGGGAAGTGAGAGATGGAACTTTTGAGCAGAAACCATGGAGCTGTTAACATCTGACTCAAACGTGTTCTGCTGAGGACAACATAGAATCTAAAACCAGAAGGACAATTGAACTCTTCATACTACAAAAGATCAGTCCCAGGTTTCCCAGTTTATCTCCTTTAGATGCACGAAGATCCTTGCCTTGGGTGGGAACAGCTCTCAGGGACAGCTCTGGAGGCTGAGGGAGAGACTCACCCATTATCAGTAACATCAACCTCTTTTTGATAGTTATTGAGCTGGCTGTGTTACTGGTGCAATAAACACAGCACTGTACGAGCAGCTTTACTGTGTAGTAAATAACTGATCAGCTTGTTGGTTTGCCATTTTGCATTTTTATCTTTTTACATTTTCATCTAATCATCAATTTCAATAAAGCAGTCATTTATTCATCCTTGTCCTTGTCAGGTGCTGGCCAAGAAAAGGATGATATTACAGGGAACCACTAAGAAGAGTTTTCTGCTCTGGAAAGGTTTCTCTGAAAGAGATCCCTGGGCACGCACAGCTTTGGAGCTGGTATCCAAATACTGGAGGTGAGCTCCAGAAAGAGGATGAGGATACCTCTTTGGAGAGAACTTCTGTGCTACAGCAGTCCCTGGTGGATGCACTCAGCACTGGAGGCAGCATCCAAATTTTGGTGCAGGGCTCTGGGAGTGGATTGCTCCCACTCAGGAAGTGCCATCAAAGTAAGCAGGTGCTGGCCTTGACCTCCCCCAGGGAGCCTCTTTGCACCAGGAGCCCTGGGGACAGCTGCTTGCCTCCCAGAATAAATATATTTCTTTTTGTCCTGGCACATTTTGCCAGTAGGGTCTAAACACTTTTGGCTTCAGATCTGCCCTTTGGGTTTCTGAGGCAGCATCACAGGACATTTAATTGTCTAGGAAGTACACAGGGATATAGGGTGGAGTTCTGAGTGGTGACAGTGGGAAGGTAAAGGCAACATCTTTTTTGTCCTGGCACCTTTAGTGGGAGCAAGTAGGGAAGGGCTCCAGGTTTGGATCCTGAAGAAGGGCAATGAAGAGAGAAGAGCGAGCAAAGACCTGCATGTGGTACAGTTTACAGGCTGCAAGAGGAAGGGGAAGGCCAGGGCTGGCCTTTTTTTCCCTAAGAACTGTATGGAAGCAGTTGCTGACTGTTTAAAGTATCAAAGCTGGGCTCTGGGAGACTGATATGATGGATGCAGTTGAGAAGGAAAGTGCAAAACTCCAGGATGTGGGGTGTGATTCCATAGGTGTGAGACAAATGTGGAGTCAGCAAGTGTTTCCTCAGCTGGCAGCTGTTGTGACCAAGACTTTTGCTGCATGTCTACAGGTAAGGTACAAGATCTATGTGACTGAAAACACATGAAGGCCCAGTTATTTGGAGAAATTTTGGAGGTAGCATCCAAACCTCCTAGGTAGAAACTGCCACTGCACATTGTAACACATCTGCTCTGTCATGCCCATCTACATACATAAATATATATATATATATAAATATAGATATAAAAAAAAATATATATACACACACAGGTACAGGCATCATGTAGGAGTGTCATTCAGCAGCCAATACTACAGATGTAGAGCCCAGTCTTTGGGTGGTCCAAAAGGAAATGTTCCATAACCAAGACAGAAGTTCTGTCTCCCCTACTCCAGCTCACACATCTCTGGATTAAAATTCCACAGCAGTCCCTTGGCTGGAGCAAAGCCATCTCTGCCCTGGCCCATGCTGCTTTCCAACAAGCACTCCAGAGCAGGAGGTGGCAGCTTCCCCTGCCAGATGCCAATTGCTGCTCTCTGGTCCCTTCTGTCCCCTCTGCAATGCCAGAGGCTGAGTGAGAGCTGCTCAGCGTGCCCAAGCTGGGAGCTCAGCTCCCAGAACAGGCACAGCAGAGCTGCTCAGGCTCCTCAGGTTTGCAGGAAGTTGCTGACACAACTTACTCAGAAAAAAGGGAGTCAGCAAGGAAACACCAACACTAACGCTGCTCAAAACTGCCCTGTAAAATCATCACAGTGGCTGGATTTATTTCCACCCCCCCACACCCCAGACAGAACAGGCAAGGGCTATTCCCTGAGCCCTGAAGGCTGGGAAAGAAGATGTTAAGGGTGCCTGAGCCCTCCTGAGCATCTCACTGGGATTAGTCTGAGGGGTGCTGCACACAGCTCAGCTCCTAAACCCCCTTTGCACAGAACCGTGTCTCAGCATCCCTGGGGATGTGCTGCTCAGCTCCCACAGGCACTGACACAAACTCTGCTAGGAGCTGAGTATCGCTTGGCAAAGCCCTCAAGACCTGTCAGGAGGATCCCACAGGGTACACAGAGGAAAACTGAAAAAAAAAAAAAGAATTAATCACATAAAGAGGAATGTATCAAGTCACCTGACGCCAAGATTCTGGTTCACTACCCCCTCCCCTTCTCAAAAACACAGCTCACACACACTTCCAGTTTTGGTTTAGGGTTGTTTTGTATTTTTGATTTTTTTTTTAATAAAAGAAGGCTTCCAGTTACCTAATGCTATTGTGCCGTTTGTGCAGGACAAACAAACTTTAAATACTAAAATGCACAAATCAAAACAAGCTGTTTCAAACTGCTCAGCAGTGCAGGCTCAAGCACTTATTTGCAATGGCTTTACTTTGTACAATCAGTTCTATATGTAGCAATGACTGTATATAAAGAATATAGTACATACTATTGTTTTCATTGTCAATTTACAACAGAAAAAAAAATAAATATCTTCCATTCTTATTATACATTAACATTTCAGTAGAAAGTCACAGCTGTCGTGTTGGCATGATCTGCAATGTCAGGAGGAGAAGGGACATGCATACTTATCTATTAAGAACTCTAAACTATGACTTTGTAATAAATTACAGAGGATAGATACCAGCCAACAGAATACTGATTATCTGAATCCAATACATTTGTAATGATAAAAGCCAAAAATGTTGCAAAATACAAAAGCTAGTAGCTTGCATTATGTAAATAAGACAAACCACGTGTGGTAAAGCCTCTTCTCCAAAGGGTTGTGAATAACAGGCTTGTGGCTTCTCAGGCAAAGGAGATTAAGTTGTTGAGCTGGTCCTTGCACCCTTCACACATAACTAGCACCATAAAGATGCAAGGACCTCAGCAAACACTAAAATTCATGCTTAATAGATAAAGCATGCATTCTGTAGAGTTTGTGCAGGGTACATACTCTGTTCATTAAGGTTGCTGTGCAAAAAAGATTCTCAGCCACTGAAGATGTTTCGCTAATTCTGTTAAGATTATTAGCAACATTTTTAAAGTTTAGCAGGCCTGTGAAAAAATGCAAATTAAAAACCTGTACTCATGGTTCCCCCCTGATTGCTATACCACTGAACTGGGGCTGAGGAAACAAAGGCAACAGCCTGAATGTCCAGTGAAGTGGGGGAAAATGAGCTGCAGTTTGCTAAAAAACAAAATAATATTTTAAAATGGCACAAAGCTTTGTACAGGTGGATCTACCGCTGCAAATACATATACAGGAGGTACCAGTTTGTTCAGATCTTTTTACAGGCCAGATCTATTTATATGTATCTTAAAATCACTCCATTTCCTGCTGCCAGATAAATGCTACAGCCTGTCAGCCTAGAAGTAAAATCAAAACAAATTTTCAACATATTCAATATCAGATTATTGTAATTTCTCTACAATTTAGTTTCTGAGCTGTCACTACTGAGACTGTTTAATAATTTTTTGGGTTTCTTAAAAGCAAAATAATAATAACAATAATTTCCTTTTTCAAGACTTGATATGATGTGAGAAAAAAGTTAAAACTGTATATGTAAATTGGTACAATAACTGGCTGAATATTTTAACATTATTTGAAATTTTACTAAGTACTGTTAGGAAGGAGGAACACAGTTATTGCTATTTGAAGACTAAAAACTAAACCAAACCAAACCAACCTGAAAGCATAGACAGAACTTTTCCAATGGTGAAAATTTAACAGATACAACAGCATTCTGCCTAAATTTATTCCTTTTGCATCTGAACACTTTTCAGGTTATCTAAAGCTTTCTCTTCCAGGTAACCATGAGGGCATTTGAAGTGGTTAATTGAGGGGCACACACAGGTTTTGAACTCTGGCAGCTCTTTCTTGAGACGTTCCAGCTGCTCCACCTGGAATATATTTGGTTGTTCAGGATTTGAGTCGTATATCCTGAATAAATGAGAAAAGAAAAAACACCCATCAGTATAGACTAGCAGTCCTCAGAAGTGTACACCAGGTGAAGCACCTGGGTTTTTTCCCTTAACAGAGCAGAACTGGGTCCCAAAGTCAGTTTTGTTTGGGGTTAGTACCCTAAGTTTTGCTGTTCATCTCACAATATAAAATGGTATTCCCCTTACACACACTGGTTAGTGTTTCATTGGATATACTAAAGACCTACTGGCACGTACTGAATCTCCTAACAAATGTGGTTTTAGAGGTGGCACAAAGCAGTGAAACAAGAGCAGTGTTCCAGGCTTTGACATTCAAAGCATAAGAAATTTCAGAGCCCTGAGATTATTAGAACAGACTGTGATACACTGCTTGCACTAACACTGCATGGAGTGTACACTTACTGCTTCAAGAAATATTTCACTTTCCCCCGAGTTCAGATTTTTTTCTTTTTTAAATTACCACAATTACCACTATATTAAGTGAAGAGTGAAAACCAGAAAACCTGACCTGTCTCCACACCTCATGCAAATTAACCATCCACAGTACTTTAAACAGTCTATCCTCTTTTCACTTGTCTTCACACACATAAACAAGGCTGCAGATTTGAAATGTCAGCATCATACCAGACTGTCCAAATCCAAACCACGTTTTGAGTGACAGGGTAAGCACTGAGCACAACTCAAACACCATTCTGGTGTAATTCATCACAAAGAAAAAGCAGGGTGCTCCTGTAACCCAATATTGGTACAACACCTATTGTAATGAGGATATACCTCAATTTCCCAACATTCATTTCTAATATCAGCATGTTTACATCCAAAATTCGAATCCTGGCACCCAGCTGCTCTCACTTTCAGTTGTTGCACATACACAGCTCCAGGTATTCAAGGTCTCCAGGTTTATCTCCTTCAAATGAAAACTTCTGCAAGAAATCACCATGGCTTCTGCCTTGGTATTTAACAAAGGTCAGACTTAGGATTCCTTCAAGAAAACTGTTTGTTTGCATTTCATCGTCCTTTGTCTCTCACACATTTTCAAGTTATGCCCAAAAGGAACCAATGCCACTAACACAACAATGTAGTGCTGAAGTGGGAGAGTGCAAGGTGCCCTTTTACCCTGACAAGACAACTTGTGAACTGCTGGCAGCTCCAAGACACCAAAAACAACATGCAGCTCAAAGATGGGCACAACAATGGGATTCCAAGTGAGGAGACCCTTCCACAGGAAGTATGGGTGTGGATCACAGTAAGGCCAATCTGTGAAGAAACTCCTAGAAGTGAGGATAGATGCTGTCCAGTTTGATGAAATTCAAACAGCAGGCACAGCATTTCAATTACTTGCACACCACTTGCAATCCAGTACAGGCCTCAACCACAACCCAAATTTGCCCACTGGGAGCTTCAGCTCTACCTTCCTTCCTTCCTGTGGTCTTCACTTGAGTCAGCTGACACCTTATGAATTTCCCTGCAAATTCCAGAGAGAACTGCAACTTGAGGATAGTATTCTATATAAAACACATGTTAGGAACTAAGAATCTGCAGTCCTTCCCATCAGTTAGACACTAGAACAGCAAAAGAAAGGTTCTGCTAAGCCCCTTGTTCCTAGCTGAGCATGTTTCTAAGCAGCTTCTGGCAAGTATTTTATTACTGGCTCTTTATAACAACGAGTATAAACTCTTTAATTCCTGCTCCATTCTAAATTCTTTTCAATTGAGATTCTGGCTGAATTCAACCCTCCAAGCTTCCTTTCGAGCTGCCCACTAGAGCCAGTCCACTCCAATGTGGGTATTTGGTTTCTTTTAAATTAAAGGCAGAAGACAACTCAAAACTTCTGAATTTCCTGACCCTACATTTTGTTTGGTTCCATGAAACTACAGCACCAGTTTGCACCAACAGAGCCCCAGCACTTCTCCCATTATTTCCAACATCACTGTAAAGATAAGGAATAAACTTGCATCTCCCCAGCCTCCATTCTTCAACAGGACAGTTATTTGTAAGCAATTATTCACCAAAGTTTCTCCATCCGACCTCCTATTAATAAGAAAGCCCTGTAGAAGACTGACAAGTCCTTTAAATAGTATTCTTTTTAAATAAGCACCTTCTACAAAAGACTTGCAGGACGTTGAGGGCTCTGCAGGGGGTGTAAAACTGATGTGTTTGGCTCCTGAAAGGTGTTCTGCAACCCCTGAAAACACATACAACACAAGAGGCACCAGCACTGAAATACTGTTTTCATGCTCAGAAGATTTTCTGAAGCTTTTGATTAAAGCTTTTCACTTTTCTTTACACCTCCAGGTTTACTCTGCAATTCACAAAATAGGGAAGACTTAAACTGTCATTGCATAACATCTTAATTCAGTCACTGAGTAGATTATAAATCAACTCACACTACACTTCCTCCACATACCCATGCTGTTATTTAAGTAACATGCAGTTTCAGGCAAACAGGGCAGCCCAGATTTCAGCAGTCTTCTGCTTTTGTGAAGTGTTTAAAATGCTTTTGATTTCATTGCCAGCTAAATTTGTGTAAATGTTGGGAAGTTACTAATACCAGTCAAGCACAGCTTTTGCCTGCAAATGCAGCATGCAGCCTAAGGAACTTAGTAGTGTTTGGACAAAGCTCTCATGGAAAAGCTCTCAGCATCCATGTTTGGGAAAGAGCGATTCAGTATTTTTATGCAGTTCTGTGTATTATTCAACAAATAAAATTCAGATCATGTAAAGTGAATGAGAAAAGATGATGCAGGTGTAAGCCAGCACCCACCCCCTCTCCACATTGGTATTTAATACACAGCCAGCAGGGGTAAAAACACAGGGCTGCATTGTTCTTATTGAGTTAAGTATCTTCAAATACAGAAGTATTTTCTGGACTGTTTACAAACCCTATCCAGGAGAAAACACCAGATCAATCACCTCA